GAAAGAGAGAGATTTGAAAAGACTCTTGAAACTGGTGAGATCTTATCTAAGTAAGCACTATGAAGTAAATGCGCATTTTTCCGCCTTTTGCATTTTAAAAGTGTACTGAAACTCTAAGATGTTTGTTCTATGATTACACCAAAACTAAGGAGTAAATTGATTGAGCAGAATTCCTCGTATCTGAAGTTTTGCTATTCAACCGGGCCTAGTAATTTGAAAACTGCCCAGTGTGTATTTCCTTTCTTTGCAGATTGTTTTTCATTCTCAAACAAGTATTGTGTCAAGCCAATTTATACTTTGTCTCGTGGGTGCAACACTTACAATCTAATCGCTCAATACGAACAAATAGCTGCGAGGTCAAAAGCATTGAAATTTGGTGACTAAATGGCGAGGTATCTACATGGACTAAGATACGACCTGAATGTATACAAGACATGGCTGCAATGATGTGCGGATGAGAGGACTTTTTTTCCGTGCGGATCAATTGCGGCATTTATTTACCCCACGTAAAACTTAGACTTGAACATGGAGTTCAACGTTAATTGAAGACGGTCATCATTGGCCCATAAAGTGTAAAATTTTACTTATGGTAAACCTAATCCTTGAATTAGCAGGATCGCATGTTCCAAAGCTTTTGGTACAACCGAAATAGTCCATTTTATCTCGTTCAATTTGACCCGAATTCTTCCACAATGTTGACCCCGTTCCTCGGTTAATTCTCGCATTCAAAAATCAAGACTATAAATACAAAACTTCTTTCCTCTTCTACACCCTTAAATTTGTCAATCTGACCTTGCTGCATTGTATACACTAAGGCGATCTAGCTTGGCCTTTAACTTCAAGTAGGATATATCTTTCACATTCACGTTCCAAATAGCGAACTGTTAACAGCATATACAATCTCCACATAGAACACACATATCATAATGTCGTTTCCATTCACCGCTAAAAATGTTAGTTTGAGCCAGGGCCCAGACCCAAAGACCTCGATTCAAACTGAAAGAGAAGCCCAAAAGTTCAACCCACAAGCCATGCAATACTTTTTGGAAGGCTCCGAACAACGTGGTGAGTTGATCAAAGCCTTGACTCAACAAATGGAGAGAGATCCAATCTTGTGGACTGATGGCTCCTTCTACGACTTGACCAAGAACCAACAGAGAGAGCTAACTGTCACTAAGATTAACAGAATCTCCAGATATTTGGAAGGTGATTCACTCGATGTCTTCCATAGGAGAATGTCATTGCTTAGTGTTTTTGACCCTGGTGCAAGTACTAGAATTTTTGTTAACTTGGGATTGTTCCTCTCTTGTATCAAAGGTAATGGTACCGCTGAACAATTGAAGTATTGGGCTGTTGACAAGTACACTGACAAGATTAGAGGTATCTATGGATGTTTCGGTATGACTGAGTTGGCTCATGGTT